GAAGTTAAGTGTTAGTTTACACATTGTCTGGGTAGGGTGGAAATTACAGACCTTAGTTACTTATTACAAGTTGCAGGGGCCCACATGGCGTGGGTTTGGACTGCTTGCCTGTCACATCAGGGTTACAGAGAGCAGTTTCAACAGAAAGCCGAGGTATAGTTGAGGTATGCAGTTTTATGGGGCATTTACCATGTCACAATGTTACTTACTCTGTAAAGCCTATTCTTAATGTTTTTGTCACAGAAATGTTATGGAAAGGAGGCTCAAAATATTGGTTAACCTGTTAGTCAAAAAAAAAAAAAATTGACACCTAAAATTTGTAAAGGCATGAGATATCATTATCATTCTTGCCACAAACCATCTCAGACCCTGTCTGGGCCTTCAGTGAGAGAGTGCGTATTCTACAAAAGATTTAAATGAGCACTCTAGATACGAGACACTGACAATAAGTTTGAAATATTCCCACACCTTTCATAAGTAAGTAGATAACTATAACTTGTCAGATACTTCAAAAATGGGTACTAGTTTCTGAAAAGAAATCAAAGTTGCGAAATCAGAGTTGCAGCTAAATGACTACATTGTTTTCCTAGTTTGTAATTCTAGATGGGAATAAGTCAGTGAAACTAAGATTGAAAACTGGCTCTAACCTATTTTTATTCTTGTTTTCACGTAAATTTTCTGAAATCTTTGTGTCCATGTGAATAAAGAAATGTTAACCATAATAGTGTAATATTTTTAATCTTTTGCCAGTGGAATATATTCACATGCCGTCACAACAACACTGCTTTCTTCAAGTGTGTATTAAAGATTCTGTGCTGAATTAATAGTAAAGGACATACATTAAAATTATTTTATGCAAGTGGAGAATGGAGAGTTCATTTTAAGGAACTATTCATTAAAGTGAAAAACTGATTAGACTTTTATAAAGGGCAGAGTTTTGATAAGAATGGGAAAGTAATACACTCATTGCAAAATATGAGTTGAACTGTTTAACCTCTGTACTAATAAGGGAAAACCTCACACGTTTGAAATGACATTGTGCAACAGACCAATATTAATTGTGCTTTTATGAGATTAAACAGCATAACACAGATATGTTCTCCTTTATCTAAACTTCAAATACGAATTTATGTGATTTTTTTTTTAAGCAATCTTCAAGTTAGGTCTAGTCTCTGAAAGTATTATTTAAAGGCCACGTTTTGTAATTGATACTCTTACCATAATAAGGTCTCTTCTGAAACATTGTAAATAATATTTGACTTATTTCAGATGCAGCAGCAGTTGGAATATGATATACCTTTAGGAGCAGCAGGTATGTTAGTAAAAAAAAAAAATTTCTTTTTTTCTGAGACAGAGTCTCACCTTATCGCCCAGGCTGGAGTGCAATGGCATGATCTCAGCTCACTGTAAACTCTGCTGCCCAGATTCAAGCAATTCTCTTGCCTCAGCCTCCCAAGTAGCTGGGATTATAGGCGCCTGCCACTATGCCCAGCCAGGTTTTGTATTTTTAGTAGAGACGGGGTTTC